TTAGCTAATAGAGTTCTGCCCTAAATGTCACTCAACAAATACACACAGTGGAGAATGATTTTCTAAGGTTTTCCTATACCTGTTTTTTGACAGGACACGTATGAAATCAGTGCTTAGCAGAGTTCCATAAGAAATGATCTTGACAGTTTTCCTTTGCAGCATCCTGTGGCTTCTAGAATGCTGCTTGGAAGGCTGTGAGATCCTTAAGAACTGAATCAGAGGAAACACAAAGAGATGTTGGGTGGGCTAAGAGAAGGAAGCACAGCTTCTGACCCCTCTCTTTTATGGACACCGCTATTATATCTGTGCCTTCCATGAATGGCCAATCTGTCAACAATTTATCCCAGTCTGGCTCCAGCTAAAAACCTGGATACTGTTTGGCAACTGTTCTTTCCAGGAAAAAACAGGGAATTGGGTCTCAGAGTTCCTGTCATCTGATACTTCAATATCTTGACTCTGTTCTGTTTATAAATGTATTGATTCATTCATTGATCCCTCACATTAGAGACACAAAAACTTCATAAATATGACTGAGTGACAAGGATGGAGGAGCGGAATAGTAGAACTTACACTGGATGTGGTAACTCTTTATACTACTATACCATGTTATTGGCCTAGACTGTTTTACAGCAAACACTGGTGCTATACAGTAAATAACATCTTCCTATACCTTTTTTAAAATTAGATTTAGCAATATTATATATGGGGGTTAATTTCACTTTTAGAAAAGGAAGCATTATGGACAGCTTATCTACACTTGACAAAATTTATATAGTGGATAGAAGTAGATGACAGGATGTTTAGAAGTTGAAATTTTATGCTAAAGAGGAAAAAAAATTAATAATGCTTAATAATTTCCCCCTCAGTTGGAAGCCTTTCACTTTGTCCAGTCTGTTTGTATGCCATCTACACATACATTTTGGCCAATAAATTTCTTTACCTTAGATAAGGCAAATGGCCAATCTTTTGATGAGCAAAAGCTGTACTTCACATTTTAGAGGGGCTGTGAAAAAAGGGATAGGACCACATCACACATATAAGTAGGCTGACTTATTTAAAAGTTTTTTTTCCCCCAGAAGGGATCCCTTTTAAAAAATTTGATGGGCATATTTTAGGGGTTATCTACAGTTTTTAATCCATTTCCCACCTCAACCGTTATAGGTAGAAGGAACTTTGAAGGCAGCAAAAACCATGCCTGCCCTAGAGTTTAGGAGTGGTGTCCCTCTTCCCTTTAACAAAGCTATTTTCTATTCATAAAATAAAACTTCATATAGTCATAATACGGACCACAGAACTTAAAGATAAGTATACATGGGATTCCAACATAACATACTATCTCAATTGTGACTGTAGGACCAGGGAAGGAAGAGACTAGAATATCTGTCTGGGGAACTCCACAGAGCCTTTTCAACCTGCACTATTCTTTTGTAGACCTTTGCACTTAATGAAGTATCATTAAATTATAATGCCCCACAAACAGGAATCTTCTAAATTCGCCCACACATAGATATCTGTCCATGTATATTTTTTCTAAGAGAATAATTATAAGCATGCATGGTACTTTGCTGTAAAAATCTGACTATGATACTGATATAACCCATAAGATGTAAATGCAATACCATTGTAAATCCATTATGGCATTATGAATAGGTTGCCTTGACACCAAGGATTTTTGAATTGCATTCTACATTTTTCTTTGTTTTACTTACCCAATTTTTAGGGTAACATTTGAAAGGGCAATGGTAAATTGTAAAGTGATAATAATCACTTGCTGATTATTATCAGGACATCAGCATTGAAACAGCTTTTAAATACATGCAAATTTTGTTTTTGTGACATGATATCTGTGCTTTCATTTTCATTGGTCCTAATGTAGGTGTTGTCCTACTATGGATGTTAGATTTTCATGTAACCCAACAGTGTAACACAAGAATTAAGGTGAAGCTTGATGTTTGTAGGAGTGCAAAATATCTTTCAGGGAAAGGTAAAAAAAAAAAAAAAGTCTGATGAAGTCTGAGCATGCTCAGTGGCCAACCAGTGGTAACTGGTAAAGAACTGAAATCCAAGAGAAGAGAATAGAATGGAGTTGGTAGACCCTTGAATAACAACAGTTTTTCCTGCAACATCTCATTTGTCTTGTTTTACCATGATATAAGGAAAAAAAGGTAAAACAGAAAAATGGTTAGTTTTCATATAGCTTATAGACAAGAACAATATATTTCTCACAAAAATATTTTCTAAAGGTTTTCAATTCTGTGTGGGGAAAAAAGGTAAAAATCTTCTCAAAGGCATTCTATTTCTGCTTGTTTAATTGTCAATCACTCCAGGTGAGGCTGGCAAAACTGGAAACATTGATAATAATAGTTCTATTGTTTTATTACGTTACAAGAAAAGATTGTTAGGAAAAAAAAGAATAAAAAAGGGAAATTACTACATTCCACGTATTCAAAATTCATTACCCCTGGCACAGATTGAAGTTCAGGGTGATCATCTAGACGAGAAAAATCCCAGGAATCTGGTTGCTGAACCACCATAAAAGATTGATACTGAAGCATGAAATCTAATTTATTTATTTCCTCTAGGCCAGGAGTCTTTGTATCTAATTTAAAGCAACCAGTTACGAATTGGTCAGAACCATTCTTAATCAATGAATACATTGCATTTAAATGTAATGTATTACGCACTTTTTTTGTAATGTATTACGCACTTTTTTGAGAGAGAATTCCCTTGTACTGCTCCTAGGTATTTGATAACCTATGGTATATAAAATAATTGTCTTTAATCTCTTTTAAAGCATTTTCATTTATCATGAAAGATTCAGAAAAACCAAAATACTGATGTTGATTTCTATCTATCAAGTAGATAGTACCTATCAAGAACTATCAAATTCAATAGCTTGTAGTTCTTATTAATCAAAAAAGAATCACAATGGGTTCATTCATTCCAAAATGCAAAATATCTACTAGCTTTGGCTAAAAATGAGTGGAAAATGTATCACTGTTTCTTCTTGGTTAATTCTGGCAGAAGGGACAGGCGGTTAATCTGTACAGCTAGGAATATATGCCTGAATACTAGCCTCACTAACTCAGAGAAGGAAACATTCTCTGAGGCTGTATATTTCATTAATGGGCATATTTCATTAAAAGTAAATCTATTACATTTACTTTCATATTCAGAAGTTTATTGGAACCTGCATTGTTAATTTACTGATCTACCCAGCAGATTCAAATAACCCAATTTACTAAAATAAGCACATCAACATTTTAATTGGCTCAACATATTCACTGCCAAAAATAAAAATAAAATATGGACTCATTTCAGATATCTGTTTAATGTATACAGGACACTTTGCAGAGATTTATATTTATTATAATATGTTTCCTAATAGTTTTGCTAACAGTCATACATGACTGTTATGGATGTAGCAGTTGTAAAGAATGCCCCCTACCTCTATTTGATTTATGTGGACATACACCTGGATTTTTCTGAACACATAAACAAATAACAACTCTAACAACTTAAATTATTAATTGTAGTCAGATTTATCTTTTCCCCATTTGCGTAGCCTGTTGTGACATAGGTTTTCAACTCACATCTTATCATCTCCTTCCCTATGGAGTTCTACTATAAAGTCATCTCATCATGTAATTTTGGCACTCCTCATTTTCCCAGTTGTTGCAATTATTGCACCTAGCATTCTAGATGATGCAGAAAATTTCAGACTGTTTTTTTCTACGTATTTCCCAAGCGTTTTTCTCTCTCTCTCCCACCTCCATTTTTGCTTCAGTGCATCTTAATTGTAAAATTGTACAATCCTATGAATGTCAATGTAAAACTCCAGTAAGTTATACAACTTACTTTTATGGAATTATCTGTAGGCCTACAGTTTAAACAGATTTCTCCAACAGTTTAAATGCACACATTCTTCCTCCATTTTTTTTTTCTCACTAGGTTCATTAAGAATTTTTGTTCTTTGATTTACTGGTTCATCTTTATTGTGATGCCTCAAATGCTTTTCCTTACACTTCATCAACATCTTTTCAGTATTTCATCTGTCCACTTCTTTTTCCCATTCTGGTTCATGCTTAGCAATTAGTACCAGAAAAATATCCCCCCCCCAAAAGCAGATAGAGGATGTTTATATCCATAATATTTGTATATGTTGGCTAGTATCTATAGATGCAAGTATAGAAAGAATAGCTATAACTTAAATATGAATACATCTCTACATAGACTATGATCACCTTATCAGTGACCATACTTAATTTGTTCCCAGTGCCAAGGATATCTTCAAGATCTCCTTTCTTGGGACTCTGTCATTAAATTAAAATAGATTTGGGGAAGGTGGCCATTCCAACATGGCATCGCTACTACCAAGTCTGTCTTTTATACATATAGGAGCACCTGGACTTCAAAGTTTTGTTCTAGAACAAAAGTGATCCCATGGAGTTGTAGTGCCTCAACAATCTCACAGAATCATAGGGTTGGAAGGATCGAATATCATTGTTACGCTGGATGCCCTGGAACACCTTTCTCACAAAGTAATGCTGAAACCCCCTGCCTCCCAAGTTTGCTGAAATTATGTTTCTGTGCCACATCTGGGTAACCCCTCCCACTCTCTTTGGAACAGAATTTGATTTTTCTCCCCTGCACTGTGAGCCCCCTCTCTCTTCTTTTTAGAGGGCAAATACTGTACAGGCACACACGCTTTCAAAAATAAGCAATTCCACGTTATCAGAAGGCCCGGGTAGTACAGAATTTCTCGGGTTGGAGGATTAATTATGCCTCTGTCCCGTTGAAATCATAAGGACAGGCCTCGCTGCTAAAGGATCGGGCGCAGAGTGCAGAGTTTTGTTTTTTAAGTGCGAACGGTATTGTGACCGTCCCTGCTCTCCTCCCACCCCAAATATAGCATCCTGTGGGATCTCCGTGCTGAGAAGAAGCTCCGTATGAATGATCTTCAGGTCCTGCAAAGCGACCGTCCTTTCTGGAAAGCTTACCTCGGCTTACGAAGGCGCAGGAGCCAATGATTCATGGCAAGTCCAAGAAAAGATCCAAGACTGGATTACGCCCTGGACTTGACCACATCGCCCGCCTTTCCCAGCCGCCATGCATGTTCCTTTGCCCAGGCTCAGGCTACGTTTGAAGTTTGAGGTCGGCGGCAGCTGGAGAGGCGGCGGCGGCAGCCGAGCGCTCTGGGCGCGCACTCGACCCTCCCTGGGCATCTGCTCTGCCGCCTCCGCCCCCCTCTTGACGGCGGATTGACTCGTAGCGCCTGAGCAGAAGCCTGTGGACTGGAAGCGCGGCCCAAGCTCAGACCGATTCAGACGGTCCTGGCGATTAATTGTGCTAGCAATTCTTGGGTCTGGGAGAGACCAAAGCGTGTAGATCCCCTCCTCGCCGCCGGCCACTTTCCTTTATCAAGGGCCCAGTGCATGCTGTGCCATCAGCTAAAGGAGGTGGAGCTGTACACGTGGAAGCGACAGAGAGAGAGGAAATCGATAGAGATGGACAGAACCTGGGGTAGTTCCCGGGAGAAATTTGCGAAGCGTTGGAGAGCAGCCCGAGACCTCCCGAGTCGTTTCGGATCCAGAAGAAAACACGGACGCGTGGCTTCGTTGGACACAGGCTGTGGATCTCCTTTGTTCGTTTACAAAAGCTGGAAGGATACCCGCAGCAGCTGGCGCCGTTCTTGAGCATGTTTATAAGGGATTAAGCCCCGCTTAGTATACTGGCTGGAATACCACGCGCTGAATAAAAGGGTTACAATCTTGCTTTTGCTGCGCACTGAATGAAATGTCCTGATGAGTAAATGAGTAGGCATAGGCTTAAGTTGGTAAGTATACGGTACAGTTTTAGCTGCCTGAAAGGTCAGGTAGTTTGAAGCACTTCCTCAATACCCTGCCCTCCCCATGTGCTGATTTCAGTTTCCTGATCTCCCCAGCCAGACTGGCATCCTAATTGGAATATGGGAATTAAAAACCAACACATCTGGAGCATACCAGATTAGGGGAGGCTGTCTTTAAACCCATCTGATCCAGCAGATGCTAGTCTTTAATTAGGAGCCTTTAATTAAAATTACATCCATTTCATTAGCATTCATACAACATAGGCATATTGATTTTGCACATTAAATGTGTATGTTCTATAAATGTATTTTCAGCTTGTTCTACAAATTTTTGTGCAAAGCTCTTGTACAGAATTCTAACAAAATTATTAATCATACATGTAATAAATGTTTAGATTTGAAGGTCATTTTGATATTCTTCAGCAGGAAAACAGCTGTCCTTAAAGAAAGGATACCTATAAAGCTATTTTACATTTTAAAGGTCATTTGGCATGTTGTTTGATAGAAGGCATGTAAAGTTACCTAAATCTGTAGCATATAGCCACATTAAGACTGTGTTTCTAAGCCTTCAGCTTAGTTCTATTTGTAAATAGAAATGAAGATCCCTGATGAAATCATTTAAACTTGACGTACAGAAATATTGTTTCAATTCTGGAAAAGAAAATCTGTTGTTTATGGAGATACTGACCAACTTTACTGTTGAGAGAACATTCCAACAGAGTTTGTTCTATTTTTCTATATATTTATATTCTATATATTTCTATGAATTTCTCTTCAAATTCATGTCTTCAGCCCCTCAGATTTTTATCATCAACTATCCCACTGATAAAACACTTAAAAGGGCCCAAAAATTGCTTTGCTGAAGCATGACATTTGCTGGCAATAGTATCTTTACCCAATACCCTCAAAAGACATTTGCCTTTCTTCTAAATATGATCTGAGGGATTTGTTTCTAATATCACTGCTATGCTGTGGTGTAGTGGCTAAGCTATTGGACTGGACTGTGGAGACCTGGCCAGATTTAAGTCTGCCATGGAAGCTCATAGGGTGATTTTGGACTAGTGACTCTATATTAACTCAACCTACCTGATAGGTGGTTGTAGGCAAAACTGGATGAGAGAGTTCTGGGAATGCCACCTTGAGCTACTGGAGGAAAGGTGGTATATAAGTCAAATAAATAAATGCTGAACATTTTTTTTCCATTTTATATTCTCACTGAATTCAATTTTTAAAAATAGCTTTAGAATTTTATTTTTCAAAGGAGAAGAAACTGGTGAAATCCCTCTGAAGTGGGATTTTTCTTACTGGAAATAGAATAGATCCAAAGATTATTCATGGGTGACTCACCTTTCTTCTTTCTCTAAATAGAATAGATCCGAAGGTTGTTCATGGGTGACTCAGCTGTCTTCTGTAGCCTATCACCTCTCTGCTTCCCAGACTTATAAAACTGAAAGGAAGGAAATAGTGGAATAACTCCTTCTCGGAGCTTTCCCATATCGTGAAACAGGGCAGTAGGGAAATTGCAGAGTGACAGAGAGGTGTAGCAGAAAGACAGCCACAGCTATCAGGAAAAAGCACACCACCACCATTAAAGTAAATTCTAAAGCAACCTAAGAATGAGGCAAAAAACCAGAAGCCTGATTTGGAGAGAGAAAGAAAAAAAATTGGTTAAGTAGAGGAGAGATTTCATCAGAGTATCAGTTTCAATAAGCTGTCTCAATGGATCCTGCAAAACTATTCTGCTTTTGCAACATGATTTTGTGGAATTGTAGTTGACTGAAAACATGGCCTGCCATCTCGCCTATCTCCCAGGCTGTGACTGTTCTTGAAGAAAGTACGCACTTTTGAACTAAGGGACATCTGGCCATCTTCCAAATCTGTTTATTCAAGGATATTTCTGGAGGGCCAAAGCAAAGCTGGGAAGAATGTTTTTATTTGCTAAGCAGGGAGTGTCACTACTGTTGCTGCTTTTTCCTTGCCATCTGTTTTGTAGGCTGTTCATCTTTTAGGTTGACTAACTTTTTTTTTTTTTTAATGGTTATTCCTCTCTCTCTTCCACTCAGCTGTTGCTGTCTGAACTGGGGCTTCCCCATGTTCCTGAGAATTAACTGAGTCAGTGATGCTTCTTAATTTTCCAGGCAGTTTCCCTTGTGAGCCTGTCAAAAACAGAAATACAGTCTGTCCTGGCTGGGGAAGAAAGCTGCAAACATTCACACTCCATAAAACTTGACAGTGTAATGGGGAATCTCACAGTTTTTAAAGGAATTTGTTATCTGATATCAGCTGGGTCAGATGCCAGAGCATGAGAGAAAATGTAGGAATAATGCTATTTTGCTCTAACTTGCCATTCATCCCATCCACCAGCCTCTCCTGACAGATGAATGGGCTCTGAAAGAACCCCTCCCTTATCCATGTCTGCACTCCAACGTTGGGCTTCAGCTCCTGCAACATAACATTACGGGTTGGACTATACCCTCCATCATCTCTTAACCATCATGGCATCTGCCTTTAAGTGTATGCTGACTCTGCTTGAGAAGAATGATGCTTCAATTTGAGATGGAGGCTGTGACATTGGGACATTGCTTTGCCCATTAATATACTAAGAAAAAATTGTGGTGATCTCTTCTACTGACCAAGCAAATAAGAAGGGATGGCAACTCTTGAGTTATTTGTTGATCTGTGGTGCCTTCAAGGGGTGGTGCATTTTATTGACTGAATATATTTATATTGCATCCTTTTCACTGAAATCAGCACTCTCTATAAGCCAGTTTTGCTTTCCCAGAAACAGGAATCAACCAGCTGTAATTTTAAGAAAGCATTCATCGGTTATTTTTTTTGTTAGAGTTGTGAAACAAAAACTCCTTAAACTGGCTACATTATCATGATCTCAGTCCTTATCAGCTAATTGGATCCACTCAGCCGTAGACAATAGCTCATCTTTTTCTAGCAATTAGCTATAAAAGTTGTTCCAATTTGCAGTAAAGAAGAAAAGGAGAAAAGTGGTTTCTTTCATACAATTAAAATTTGTGAAAGAACTCTTTTTTTTAAAAAAAATAAAACCTTCATTGTGTTGAAAATGGCCAAAACCAAACTGAAGGCTCTGCAATGAAATTCACAGCAAGTAACAGAACCCTGTGTTCTCATCTAGCAAAGGCAGCTGTTTCCAACCTGGCCATGCTTCAAGAATGTGGATTTCCAGAATGCTCAAGCCAGGACAGCCACTGCTGAAAATTTTGGGAGTTGAAGTCCCCATATCTAAAGAATGTTCAGAAAGATTGGACTAAATAATTGTTTCTGTAGAAGAGTGTAGTCTCCTTGGGACAATCTATTGGAAGTCCTATGTAAGGAGTAATGGGCAGACCTAAATCAAATTATGGGTGGGATCAGATATGTAAGTGGTCAGAGCACCCATTCTGTTTCTGGCACCCTTCCCTCCTCCAATTCCCCCCTCATATTTTTATATCCTCATTCTTGCAAGCAGCAGACTTCAGCTAAGGAAGAAGACCTTACCAGACCTGAATTAATTTCTTGGAGAAAGGTTTTGATACACTAGTTGGAACGCTTTTAAAATCCTGTTCTAGATAAAAATCTCACAAATAAGACTGATTAATCACTTAATTCATTAAACACTATAAATAAAAATGAATGCTATAAAGGTTTTACCCAATGACAAGCGAATCAGTATTTTTCCAGACTCAAACACTCAATGGGTTGGCAGTTATTTGCTTGTGGAAGTAACCTAAATATCTCTTATTCTTGAATGTAGCTTATTTGCTGCCCAAAAGCCATGTCCAGTTGTATTATCTATTGAAATGAAAGGTCGAGGAATTTTATATAATATAAACATGTTCAAAGGAATTAATTGCACATCTGATCAATAAAGTATATTTTTTCTTTATATGTTATTAATATCACACTTGGCCATTGGTGTTTTCATTGCATGCTCATGTGTTTACTGTAGTATAAGAAGCTGTAACAAGGTTTGTATTTTTATAGGTGTCTTCAAAAACTTTCAAGTAGCATTCAAGAATCACATCCTTTTTACAGAACTTGAGTGTATCACTGATATTTTGGCTGCGATAGTGAACTCATGTGACAATTGTATTTGCAGTACTTGAATTTGGGCCTGGACGAACCAGGCTGCACTCCTTATGTCTAAATGTAGTGTGTCCTTAAATGAAACGGCAAAAGGTCAACATTATGTTTAATCATAGCTTTTATTATATATTAACA